TAACCTGCACCTTGAATTGGGACCGGAAAATAAATGGCAGCCAGTGGAGCTCCTTAAACAGGAGGGTTGACCACTCCCTGTAAGTTGCCCCAGTTATTAATCTGGCTGCTGAACGTTGGACAAGTTGTAGTTACCAGGCCATCTTCAAGGGTAGCTCCATGTAGAAAGCATTACACTAATCCAGTCTAGAGGTAACTAAGGCATGGACCACCATGGTCAAGTCAGACTTCACGAGGTAAGGTCGCAGTTGAAGCATGACTTTTAGTTGTGCAAAGGCCCCCCTGGCCACTGCCGATACCTGCACATCGAGTGTCAGCACTGAGTCCAGGAGGACCCCCAAACTGCGGACCTGTGATTTCAGGGGGAGTGCAACTCCATTCAGCACAGGTTGCCACCCAATACCCCGATCAGCCGAGCGACTGACCTGGAGGACCTCTGTCTTGTCAGGATTGATCCTCAGCTTGTTCTTCCTCATCCAGGTCACCACAGCAGCCAGACACTGGTCCAGTATCCGAGGGGCTTCCTTGGAATCTGGTGGAAAAGAGTAGTGGAGTTGGGTGTCATCTGCGGAAAGGTGGCACGTCACTCCAACACTCCGGATGACCTCTCCCAGTGGTTTTATGTAGATGTTAAATAGCATGGGGGACAGAATAGAACCTTGCGGGACCCCACAGATCAATGACCAGGGGTCTGAAAAGGAGTCCCCCAGCTTCACCAACTGGGAATGACCTTCCAGGAAGGACCAGAGACACAGTAGAACCGTGCCCCCGAGTCCCATCCCAGCGAGTCTTCCCAGCAAGATACCATGGTCGATGGTATCAAAAGCCGCTGAGATATCCAAGAAACCAGCAGGGTCACACTCCCCCTGTCCATTTCCCTGCGGAGGTCATCCACCAAGGTGACCAAAGCCATCTCGGTGCTGTATCCAGGCCTAAAGCCAGACTGTGAGTGATCCAGATAATCAGTGTCATCGAGGAATCCCTGAAGCTGCGAGGCAACCACCCACTCCAGAACCGTGCCCAA